GGTTTACCCGGAAATCTGTTAATAGTCTGTATAGAAAAAACTTATGTCTAATGTATAGTAAGGCAGCAAAAGATTAATAAAGATAATAAAAATACTAAAATGTACTATTCGTTCGTTAATTGGACTGTAATTTACTTCTAAATTGTAATTAAAGTTTGTTTTTTATCACTTCGTGTTCAGCGCTTTCGTTGGCCACCTGTTCTCTGATGGACTCTTCCAGAGCCACAGGTATTAAAAGTTCTTTAGGAAGACATCGTTCCAGGAATGGCACACAAGTGCTTATATACGCCAATCGATTGATCCACGAAGGGATCGATTTGCCGCATAAATACTGTCAATACATCAACACTTTAAACACATTGTCTAATGTCTTCAATAACCATACAATACCTTAACTAATGCTTCGGTAAAATGATTGCAATTCCTGTGCAAAAGATGGTATTTATCTCCTTTGTATTCTTTGCCCATCTCTTCAATTATCTCTGTTATATCGTCGCGACTAAAGTCAGTGTAACCGATGACCACTGACTCTCTATTAGCAAAACAAACACCCGTTTTGTTAGCATTAAACACATCGCAAAAGCTATGCAAACGTATCAGTACTTGAATTTGAAGTTGTCTTCTCCCAGCGATTCCACGTCTTTGGGCTCAATCTCGAAGATTCCCGAAAGACTGAAAGGGTGTCCGCCGTAACCAAACTCTGGCAATAGATAAACATATTGTTAAATAAGTTAAACATATTGTTAACCCATATGTCAATGAATACCCGTGTCGTAGACGTGAACCCCCGAGTGGTAGATCCCGATCCCCAGAGAGGATGAGTACTGGTTTATCGATGCCTTCAATCAAACAAATGATACGTTAATTAAAAGAGCGAATAAATGGTGTAAACAATGATTGTGTGAATGACTACCATATCGTAAACGTTGACCACAACTGCCTGTCGGGCCATCATTTCAAACACCGTTTACTAATTCAACGATCAATTCATAAAAAGCGGTCAAATATGTCATCAAAGGTGGGCTCAGTTTGGACTCAAGACTGTTGTTGTGATTGAGTGAAGCAATGAAAGCAATGAACGGGTGTTTCAATCACAACAACAATAACACTATTAATGAGTAATCACTGGAAATCAATGTCTGAATGCATTAATGGATGCGTTGTTTGCAATCAAAACACATTTAAAGACAAAACAATAAAACAAATGCAATGAATGGACGAAAGGAAAGGGTTTTAAGGGTTTTATTGCATATAAATATTCAGTCATTTATATGAGTGAACGTTGTATTGAATACAATAGTCATCTGATTGTCACAATCTGTGCCATCATTTCATAACAACATTTCATTTCATATGTTATGAACTCTCGATTCCCCTCTCAATACACTCTCCTTTCACTACAACTTACACACAGTTTACACACTATTGGCAAACATTTCATCAATACATCCATTCATCCGGTTATCACTTGCCATACGAAGACAACACATGTTTGGTTACAGTTGTAAACACGTGTAATGTCATTGAATTGGCCTTAAGTTTGTCCTCAATTTGTTTATTTACTACACAATTAGTATGAGTTTCGGGGGTCGACTGTACGCCAGTCTTATCGCTAATGTCTGTCCAATAATATCGTCGGCGAGTTGTAAGCATCGGATCCAATGGCGAGTGAATGCATGCGTTTAAATGCAGTACTCATTTAAGTCTATCTAATGGTAAGTAAATACCAATTAATCGATAGATAAGCCGAAGAATAGCCATAAAAGTAATGATTGAATGAATGACTAAATGTATGGCAAAGTTTGTGTCAACCCTTTGGCCTCACGAGTGGACGTAATATCTGGGAATGGATTGAAGGGTAAAATGAATAGACATAATGAGATGATTGCATGAATGCATGGAGTGATGAATATATGTGTAAAAATGTTTTCGTAAATTAAAAGCATTGAAAAACATTTGTAAATATAATAATAAGATTAAATGTTTTATTCATTTTACAAATCAATTATACAGTTGTAGTGTGAATGCCATCCGTTTGTTGTTTCGTTTACACTGTTTTCAATCGCATCCAAACCTATCACTCATTCAAAGGTTAGTCGCGAACAACAAATGCTTTGTCAATGCATTTGATGTCAACTTCTTGTATGTGTTTATTGTCCTCACAATCGCTAACCAAA